ACATAAACTTACACGTCTGTGATTTTTCAAAATGAGATTGCACATGACTGCACGCATCCACGATCATTTTTTTTTTATGCCCCGCCACAGCTGCACCTCCTAAAACGTGGTTGGTTTGTTTGTTCACACACAGATATATAACGCAACTAGCACCTTCAACTTTACAGTACTTCTCTTTTGGCTCATACACAGTATGAAATTTGCTAACTGTGTAAAAATAGAAGGTTGATAGTTACAGTGAATGCATGAAAAATAAATTAATAAAAGAAAGAGGCTTTACCTTAAACTAAGACCATATATATTATATATATATATATATATATATATATATATATATATATATATATATATATATATATGTATATGTATATATATAATGTAAATCACACTCTTTTCCTTTTTTTCCTTTTTACCGCAATAATCTATTTATTTTTTAATCTTTTACTCCTCTTCACGCATTCTCTATATTAATCTTTGGCAGTCTTCAATACCACTTACCACTTCCGTTTTCCTCTTTTGTTTCACTTTATGAGAATCATTTACGATGACGAAATTCCTTTTAAACACCATCCCCCAACTCTAGGAAAAGACTGTGATAGATAATACCAGTTAATAGATCGTAGGACCTGTTCTGTAATACCGGGAGAGGGTGTCGCCATACCACCTAAGGGGTATTTTGGCGAGCAATTTTAGACTTAAGATTTCTCTAAAATGCAAGACAGATTGACATTAATTTTGGAAAAGGGAAAAAATCCGGATAAACAGAATTGACGTCACTGACAGCTGACAGATAACCGAATTTTTGTCACCGAGTAAAAACAGTTTAATATTTGGTTCAAGTGAGAGAATATAAATACATTGTCATTATATATTAACTGAAGAAATATATGTCTCGAAACAAATTATTTATAGTCCTATGTAGTCATATCTCTGGACGTCAGCCTTGGAGAAAGACCGATAGATAGATAGATAGATAAATAGATAGACTGATAGATAGGTGGCTAGATAGATGAATAGATAGAGAAACTGATAGATATCTAAATAGATAAATATACCAACTGATATATAAATAGTTATCTAGTCTCCAAATAAATACTTCTTCATTATTGTCTTAATTAAAAACCCCAATTCGTAATTAAGAAGTAATCCATCTATCTATCCATCTTCAACTAAATTCATGAAAAAGTGTTACCAGATCCTAATAACCTTACAGCAATGGCAATGCAATACCTAGCATACCTTTTTATTGCCTTGATTGGAGGTCACGAAAATTCGGTAAAATGCAGTCACTTTTTCATGCCATAAAATACATACACTTTTTTTTTTCTCGTACGATAAAATATATGCACTATTTTTCATCCGATGTATTTTTTTTGTATGATGTAATACTTTTTTTGTACGATGAAATAAATATACCTTTTTTGGGTGATGAAATACACTGACTTTTTCATTCGATTTTTTTTTCGTATGATAGAATATATACACTTTTTTCGTGCGATAAAAAACATGTACTTTTTCACACAATGAAACCAATGTACTTTTTCAGTGGAATAATATACATGTACTTTTTTTAATATACATGTACATCTTCGCCAATAACGTACACATGGCCAATAACGTACACATGTACTAAATAATAACATATCTTCGCCAATAACGTACACATGTACTGCCAATAACGTACACATGTACCAGCCAATTACACATGTACATCCTATGCATGCCAATAACGTACACATGTACCATCTTCGCCAATAACGTACACATGTACCATCATAACGTACACATGTATGCCATATACACATGCACATCAATAAAGTAGCACATGTTACCATCATCGCCAATAACGTACACATGTACCATCATCGCCAATAAAGTACACATGTACCATCATCGCCAATAAAGTACACATGTACCATCATCGCCAATAACGTACACATGTACCATCATCGCCAATAACGTACACATGTACCATCATGCATAACGTACACATGTACCATCGCCAATAACGTACACATGTACTATCTTCGCCAATAACTACATGTACTATCTTCGCCAATAACGTACACATGTACATCTCGCAATAAATGTACAATCGCGTACGGGGTACCATCATCGCCAATAACGTACACATGTACCATCTTCGCCAATAACGTACACATGTACCATCTTCGCCAATAACGTACACATGTACTATCTTCGCCAATAACGTACACATGTACCATCTTCGCCAATAAAGTACACATGTACCATCTTCGCCAATAACGTACACATGTACGCCAATAAGTACACATGTACCATCTCGCCAATAACGTAGTTACACAATCTTCGCCAATAAAGTACAGCCAATACATGTACCATCTTCGCCAATAAAGTACACATGTACGCCAGTACACATGTACGCCAATAAACCACATATATCTTTTCATACGACAAATTACATACTCGAACGATCAAATACAAACACTACTTTTTTCCACGTTATTCGAATGCACGTAATATTTTTTCATTCTTTTTCATATTTTTTCGTACGATCAAATAAATCCATTTTTTTTTCAAGCTTTGAGGTCCTTTTCTGGCAGTGTGGAGTCCAGGTCCCGGATGAAGTCCTTGTAGATATAAGGGTCCATGTTTTTGGCTGAAAATTAGAGGTTGAAATAGATTAATATTGATGGAAGATATAAATTAAACAATATATATATTATTTAATTGTGTAAATGTGATGTGTTTGATAACTAAGAATTATATATTGATGAAATAAAATATATTTTTTATATATAAGTTGGTTTATTACACAAATATTTGAAAATGATAAAGAAATAATTTGAATGATAATCGCAATTTTGATAATAATAATGCTAAGGAAAATAACAAAAATAACGAAAAAAATCACAATAATAATAACTATAAACAACAAAGGACACCACCAACAACCACGCTCACAAAAATAAAAATTCCCAAACCAATAACAACACTCCCTGGTCACACACAATCCCCATCTAAGAGGCAACATTAACAACTACAACAATAACAAGAAATTTAATAACCTCAATCACAACCACAGCAACAACCACAACCACAACAAACACAGCACAACCACAACAAACACAGCACAACCACAACAACCACAAACACAGCCAGAACGACACTAACCACAACATCCACAGCACAACCACACCAACCTCAATCACAACACACACAAACACAACCACAACCACAAACAAACACAACAATCACAGCAACCAACAAACACAACACCAGCCTCATCCACAAACACAACCACAACAAACACAACACAACCACACCAGCCTCATCCACAAACACAACCACACAAGCACAAAAAACCACACCAGCCCATCCACAAACACAAACACAAACACAACCACACCAGCCTCATCCACGACACAACACAAACCACACCAGCCTCATCCACAAACACAACACAACCACACCAGCCTCATCCACAAACACAACCACACCAGACTCATTCCACAATCACAACCACAATCACAACCACAAACAAAACAACACACAACCACAGCCACAACCACACAAACCAAACCACAAACCACAACCTTCCCCCCCAACCCCAACCTTCCCCTCCCAACCCCCCCCTCCCACCCCCAAACCCCCCAACCCCCCAATCCCCCCCCTCACCCAAGAGATAGAGCAGAAACCAGTCTCCGATCTGGCACTTCTTGGAGATGGACTCCAGCTGGTCGGCGAGTGCCAGGCGAGAGCGGCCGCGGAGCAGAAGGTGCCGGAAGCTGGAGGAGAAGGTGGCCATGCGGTAGACGAGGCCACAACCGGAAATGACGGCGACGATGATGAACCTGCGGTTTGTGGGGGGGGGGTTATTGTTATTATAATTGTTGTTATTGGTTGTGTGTGTTATATATATGAATAGATGGATGGATGGATGGATGGATGGATGGATGGATGTATCATATATATATATATATATATATATATATATATATATATATATATATATATGAATTTTTCTTTAAATATTTGCACGTTCTGTTGGTTGTCTCTCTCTTTCTTCACGTTCACGTAATGACAGAACACGTAACCACAAAAATAAAAAAATAAAAAATAAACAAAGAATATATATACACGTAAATATTATAAACAAACAAACAACAAACAACAAACAACGCAAAACAACAACCCCCCCTCCCCCCAAAAAAAAAAAAAAAAAAAAAAAAACATAAACCCCAACTCACCAAAACCACAGAAACACGAAGATCTTCTCGTTGAGGATGTTCAGCGGCAGGACGCACAGGACGTCGTGGCGCATGATGGTGCCCGAGGGCCCGAACCTGTGGAAGGTGCACTTGGCCACCTTCGGGAAGATCTCGTCCATGGGGTCGTGGCGGCTCCCGAGGTCCTGCTCGGTGAACTCCAGGACGCGGCTGCCGTAGGTGGAGAAGCCGTAGTCGAGGAATCTGAGGGGGGAGGAAGAGCGTCAAGTAACAAGTAACAAGTCTGTAAAAAAAAAAAAAAAAAAAAAAAAAAAAATGTAACAGCGGTTAAAAAAAAAAAAAAAAAAAAAAAAAAAAAAAAAAAAAAACGATTGAGCGTCAAGTAGGATGAATGACGTAACAAGTCTGTTTAAGAAAAAAATGTAACAGCGGTTAAAAAAAAAAATAATAATAACCGATTGAGCGTCAGTTAAGAGGAATGACGTAACAAGTCTGTTTTAAAAAAATGTAATAGCGGTTAAAAAAAAAAAAAAAAAAAAAAAAACGATTGAGAAATAATAAACGCTAATAAATTAATAACCGATTAAAAAATTGATAACCGGTTGAGAAATAATAAACGATAATTAAAAAATTAACCGATTGAAAAATACTAGTTGGTGGTTCGTTTCGGTTGATAATTTCAAACATTATATCTATCTATCTATCTATCTACATATCTATCCATCCATCTATTTATCTGTCTGTCTATCTATCTACATATCTATCTATCTATCCATCCATCCACCCATCTATCTATCTATCTGTCTATCTATCTACATATCTATCTATCCATCCATCCATCCACCCACCTATCTATCTATCTGTCTATATATCTATCTACCTACCTATCAATCTACCTACCTATCCATCCATCCATCTATCCCTCCATCTATCTACCTACCAATCTATCTATTCATCTATCCCCCCATCCATCCACCTATAAATTTCCACTAAAAGGTATTATGTCATCTATATATCCATCCATCTACCTACCTATCTATCTATCTATCTACCTATCCATCCATCTACCTATCTACCAATCTATCCATCTATCCACCTATAAATTTCCACTAAAATGTATTACCGCCTCCACAAACGATCCTTTTTAACCGAACAAACGAAGGGGATTCGAACTTCTGCCATCTATCTACCTACCTATCTATCCATCTATCTATCTATCCATCCATCCCTCCATCTATCCATCTATAAACTTCCACTAAAAGGTATTATGTCATCTATATATCCATCCATCTACCTACCTATCTATCCATCCATCTACCTATCCATCCATCCATCTATCTATAAATTTCCACTAAAAGGTATTACCGCCTCCACAAACGATCCTTATGTCATCTATATATCCATCCATCTACCTATCTATCTAACTATCCATCTATCTACCTATCTATCCATCCATCCATCCATCCATCCATCTATAAATTTCCACTAAAAGGTACCACCGCCTCCACAAACGATCCTTTTTAACCGAACAGAACGAAAGGGGATTCGAACTTATGTCATCTATATATCCATCTATCTACCTATTTATTTACATATCTACCTGTCTATCTACCTATCTATCCATCTATCTATCTATCCATCCCTCCCTCCATCTATCTATCTATACATTTCCACTAAAAGGTATTACCGCCTCCACAAACGATCCTTTTTAACGAACAGAACGAAGGGGATTCGAACTTATGTCATCTATATATCCATCTATCTACCTATTTATTTACATATCTACCTGTCTATCTACCTATCTATCCATCTATCTATCTATCCATCCCTCCCTCCATCTATCTATCTATACATTTCCACTAAAAGGTATTACCGCCTCCACAAACGATCCTTTTTAACGAACAGAACGAAAGGGGATTCGAACTTATGTCATCTATATATCCATCCATCTACCTATCTATCTATCTATCTATCTATCTACCTATCTATCCATCCATCTATCTATCTATCTATAAATTTCCACTAAAAGGTATTACCGCCTCCACAAACGATTATATTTAACGAACAGAACGAAAGGGGATTCGAACTTCTGCCATCTATATATCCATCTATCTACCTATCTATCTATCTATCTACCTATCTATCCCTCCATCCATCCATCTATAAACTTCCACTAAAAGGTATTACCGCCTCCACAAACGATTATATTTAACGAACAGAACGAAAGGGGATTCGAACTTATGTCATCTATATTCCAGTCAGCTGTGATGCGCACTCGACTAGCGATGGACCGAAAGGGTTAGGCTATCAGGTCACGTGTTCGCTAAAAGTGAACGTAATTAACAATACAGAAGAAAAATTTGAATTTTATTTTTATTATTAATTTTTTTTGTATATAGATTTTAAATAACAATATAAATATATTTCAGTAATGGAGGAATAACAGATATATTATAGTAATTTTTTTCGGTTAATTTAGAAAGATTCCCTTACTTTTTTCGAAAAAAATAATCTATACAGATAATAATAAACACAAAAATAAACCAATAAGTACGAATTAATAAATAAACCATTACCAAACAACTGACAAGACATAAACCAAGGTACTTAAAAGAAATTATAAAACTGAAAAACAAACACACACAACCAAATAATACACACCAATAAAAAAAAAAAAAAACGAAAGAAAATGAACCCACACCCCACCACTGAACACTAAAACTGAACACTTAAAACTACTTTACACTGAACTTAACACTTAAAAACACTCAACACTAAACTTAACACTTAAAAACACTCAACACTAAACTTAACACTTAAAAACACAATACAGAACTGAACACTTAAAACTACTTAACACTGAACCTAACGCTTAAAACCACTTAACACTGAACTTAACACTTAAATTTACATAATACTAAACTTAAAACCCTAAAACCCCACCAACCCCACCCTCAAAAACCTTAACCTCCCCCCTCTCAACCCCTCCTCCCCCCCCCAAGACTAAACTTAAAAACACTATCACTAAACTTAAAACACTTAAAAACCACCAACACACAATCAACACTTAAACCACCCAACCCAACCTCAAAACCCTCACCTCACCCACCCCCCTCTCAAACCCTCAACCCCCACCCACCCCTCTCAAACCCCCTTCCCCCCCTCTCAACCCCCCCACCCCTCCCTCCCACCCAAAAAAAAAAAAAAAAAAAACTCAAAAAACAGCCCTCACCGATCCGTAGAAGATCTGGCCGACCACGTTCACGAAGTTCATGACCTCGCACAGGAAGAACTGCAACCATCCCCCCCCCATCCCCACCCCCCTTCAAACCCATCCCCCCCCAAAAAAAAAAAAAAAAAAAAAAAAAAAAACCTCACCGATCCGTGAAGTAGATCTGGCCGACCACGTTCACGAAGTTCATGACCTCGCACAGGAAAAATGCTCATCCCCATCACCCCCCCCCATACCCCCCCCCAAAAAAAAAAAAAAAAAAAAAAAAAAAAAAAACACCTCACCGATCCGTGAAATAGATCTGGCCGACCACGTTCACGAAGTTCATGACCTCGACAGAAGAACTGCTACCATCCCCCCCCATCCCACCTCCCCTCTCAAACCCCACCCCTTCCTCCACCCCTCAAAAAAAAAACAAAAAAAAAAA